CTTGATGGGCTCCCAAAACTTTTCTTACATGCACACCTACTGTATGCCAGAATCATTCATTTTTGCTTGAATGGTCAGACGGGGTGTGTGCACTCCAGAAAGAGACGCATATTGGCACATTTATTTACCTTTATAGTCATGGCCAATCTACATCATTTGCACGGTAAATTTAACCTCCCAAATTCTAAATTACTTATCTACAACTCAAACATTGTGTTAAAAAAAAAAACATTGTAAAACCTAAGCCAATAGGGGTGCTAGACCTGTAACTTTCAGGTTTTGGTATCCCTGAAAGCAACTTGCAACACTGCACTGATGGAAAGCCAGTTTCCCTTTTTGTTTTTGAAACTCAGAGGGAAATATTGGGCCTGTAGATTGAGAAGCCATGGACCTGCTTTGGAAAGACAAGGCCAGGTTCAAACTCTCTAGATTCAAGCCTACATCAGATAAGTAATCATATCTGTTTTGTTGGGTTAAAGCAACTTTTAGCTTAGTTCACTCTAGTGCCCAAAGGGAACTCAGACTCCCATAAAGCATCGTTCTAGGTCACATGACCGATTCAGAGATGGCTTTGACCTTTTCAATTTACATAGCTCGTACTGCAGTCTCTTTTGCCATATTTTTTATTTTTTTTATCTCCATCCCCTCATGTATATCCATAGTCTTACATTTGTGACATATAATTCACTACTCAGGTACAACAAAGGTTTTCTGTATTATTTTCTAAAATTGATCAATTAATTAAACATGGAGTCTCTTTACCGTCTTCTTCGCTTATTATACATTCTAGTTTCTGCTCATACCTGCTGAAAGATCATACTTCCTGAAATATTCAAGCTCTTATGGATAAACAACACGTCTTCACTTCATTTCAGCTGTGCGCTTCACATGTGGCCATCAATTAAAGGACAGAGCTGTTCATGTTCTTAGCTGCTTCAACAGTCTAAGATCTGATACATTAATTTATGTGAAAGCATAATTTTAGAAGAAAATTATTTAAGCTCTAGATGTGCTTTCATCTGCCAACATGTTATATATTTTGCGTGAAATTGACTAGATAACTTTTGCAAAATCAGAGAACAAGTTACGTTCATGATATGGGCCCAATTTTGATGATTTGGAAACACATGGGCATAAGAATGATCCTTTTCTAAATTAACACCTTTAGAATAATTTTTTTTATGATTTTATAAAACACAAACAACTGTACCTTTCTGTGGTATTTTAAGAATATACCTATTCATGGCCAGACATAATGGCCTACTTTTCCTTTGTTTTCATTCATTTGAACACATTTTAAAATGCGACTCCTCACTTTAAATATAAATTGCTGCTTAAGTTACAGTTTAGAATTCACCTCATTTAACAAAGATATAAAGGTGCCGCATTTGCTTAATTACAAAACATTTTACAGATTTAGGGTTATGTTCGCACATTTAATTTTCCTCTTTTTTTTGCCTCCAGAATGTGGCTGTTACTAAATCTTACATAAAAAGCCAGATGGTGGCTTGTAAGTTATAAAGTCTACAGGGAAATAAATTGCCTGCTACAGTAAATTAACAGCAAAGCCACCTGTCTTTAAATTAAGCATAAATTAGTTTTTCATCAATTTCTTTCATATTAGGTAAACACACATGGTCTGACTGGCAGATTAAAGCTTATTTAGGTAGAAGCACTTTAAATTGGAAGTCAGTATTCTTACTCTAAATATTTCCTGTATTTTCTATAAAATACTAAAGCAGAATCCAGTGGCACTTTATTTTTCAGTATGAAAAATTTTAAATGCATAAATGACCTTGATGGGCTATACAATCATTACCTTTATTACCAGAAAAGGCTTTTCTTAACTCTGGTGGAGAGACTTGCTAACCTTGACCTGAGTTCAAGTTTGTTGCTCGCTGGTAACAAGTTAATGTTCATTCTAACCTCATCCTGCTGATGGGATAAAGAAAAGTAGGCTGATAAACAACTCTGAGCAACATCTTCATATGCCCATTCTTTACTACTTCTTCACAACAAAGCATTTAAGATTACTCTCTACTGCCCCTCATGCATTAGGGAAAAATGTGATGGCCAATGTCCTGTTCAACCCCATGGGGTATCTTATTTTATATCTCTTGCTTCTTAAATTGTGCTAGTCTGAAAGACCAAGTCCTTTTCAAATGCTGGCTCTCTGTGACAAGTGCCCTCTGCTATATGAAAGGCAGTCTTGATAATCCTTCTCTCCATTTTGGAGCAAATTATTCTGAGTTTCTACGGCTAAAGGCTTATAAATAATGCTGACACTAAATCTATAATAATACAAAAAAACCTTTGTACATAAAAAAAAAATCCCTCTGTCATAGCATTGATCTTTCAGTATCAGACAGCTGAACCTTACAGGCACAGATGAATGTGACTAAGCTACTTTGAATAACTTTTTTACATTTTACATGTACAATCAGTACATAACAGTGTTGTTTTTGGGAGCCTTTAGTTCTTAGTCCAGTTTTGCCCTGTCACAATTAAGTCATTTCTCAGGGCCCTGTCACACCTTGCTCTCCTCAGGAGCAGTGATGATACCACCCACCCAAGAACAAACAAAAAAAAAAAAAAAAAAAAAAGAATAAATAAAAAGAAAAAAGAAAAGGAAAGAAAGAGAATTTGCAGTAGTAGCAGATTCAGCGTTATGTCTGCTAGGAAGTTTGTTGGTCGTTGGTATGAAGGCAGGGAGGATCCATCACACTCACCTTCATGCTCACACTATGATGGGGATGCAGTCCAGAGGAGATGTTACTCATAGGTTTTGTATAAGCTGGAAACCACGACTTATGAGTAAGTTATGCTAAAAGTATGTCAACGATCAGATAACTTACCTCTAACTTATGGCCCACGTATAGCATATGCTGGTATATGTTGGGAAATTTTGAGCATGCTCAAAATTTTGCACTGTATTTGCCTTATGTCAATGTGTGCCAGCTTGTTTCAGCATACTTCGGAGAGCTCATAACTAATACAAAACGTACCCATAACTTATACAAACTATGCCAGCATTTTAGACGGATTTTCTGTACATCAAGCATATGCTGGTCTAAATCATCAAGGTGTGACAGGGGCTTTACACAAAAGTTTTAGTCAAGTTCTAGTCTGGAAAAAGATAAGTTTCCTGTGTAGTCTACACTTTGTAAATAAACCTATTATAAAGTAAGTGAATATAAAACAAATATATGTATCATCTTTTTTATTAAATACATCCATGTGAATATATTTATCATCCAACTCATCATCTTTACTTTGTGGGTATTTTGACTAAATACTTATTTCATATTATTACTCATGTTAATTCAACTAATAAAATGCCAAAATGTACTATATTACATATTACACTACATATTATATTATGTATTTTTATTAAAACTTGAAGCTACTAGCTAATACAGCAGAAGAAATGTACATTTAATTATGTGATCCTCTCTTCCTCCTCATTCTTTGTCCATGGAGTCCATACCTCTTTTTACAGCAGTACACCTCTTATTCCCCTTTCATTTTTAACTCGCATATATCCAAACTTAGCAAATAATCACTCGTATTTCACAAATCACAATGATTATTAAAGTTACTCAAAAATTGCTCTTAAAATAGACACTTCAGGTCACCACTTGAATTGAACCATTGCTACATTGATTATGGCAAAGATCAACCCAGTATAACAAACATGAAAAGATTCACTTACCATAATTACAAGACAGCTACCCACTCAGTTTATTTCCCCCACAGTCTGTCTCTAAAATATATGTGCCTTTTGAATTGATCATATTTAAAGTATATCCGCAGGACCTTTTGTGGTGTGCGGCCACCAAGCCTTTAACATTTAGCTGCTGCCCTATAGGTGATGGAAAACTGGGCAAAATAAACACAGGATGACAGATTAAAAGCATAAAAGGGAAAATGGCATTAATTGTGTTTTTCCAAAGAATGTTTTTCAAAATTATTGTCTAGTCTTGATCTCACTATCATTTTTTAGTTACCTAAGAGTTATGTTTATTTTATAATTATCTCAATTGTCAATTTAATGTTTTTGGATTGTTGACTAAAACATTGGACTGTAATACCCCTTTCACACTGGCCAAAAAATCCGGGAACAATTACCTTTTATTGGCAGTGGGAACAGCTTACAATATATGGAGGTCAACAACGAACGCCACCACTGATCTAACAAGCCGAAAAAACATGGTTTACATTCGATAAACATAGCACAGCACTGGTGAGAGAGATTCAGAAAGATATAAGAGCGAAATAATAATGCACACTGACTACGCTCTGGCTCCTGTCCATGTTGCTCTCCATTATTTACTTCCCTGATTTCAGTTGCACTATCAACATCATCAACGCTTTCGAAGGGAAAGTGCCTTAGGGTATCTTATTAAATGCAGTTTTGGAAGTCTGCATGCCTCTAGCCAATTTGCAAGTAGTTCACCCAAATTACTGGAATGATAAAGTATATTTCTGTTCTATTCTTTTGTATTCCACTCCACCATCCCTCACTCCCTCCATGACATGTCTCTATTGACAGCAGCTCTTGCAGACATTTCAATACCTCTCTCATTGTCCAACTCCTGCAGATCATTCAAAGGAGCCATGAGACATAGTTTGACCCACTACTCTTGAGTTTGCCCTTAGGTGTTTGGAAATATCTCAGTTGGAAACATCTAGGAAACCTTCACTGGATGCTCATCAAAGTTTGTGAGAGTTGAAACGTCTAGGGTAAATTCCAAGCTTTGCCTGTACATTCGGCTCCTTGTTGGTGTGAATTTGTGTGATCTTAGTATCTGTAAAAAAAAAAAAAAACCTTAAAAAAAAAAAACTCTGACCAGAAAGTCTTTTATTTAGGGTTGTATTTTAAGCCCAAACCTGAGAGAAGAGGTACATGTTTATCTAAATTTCTGTTGGACTTACAATTACAGTAACCTTACAATAAAAGCTGTAAACTTCCCAACCTTGACCCTCTTGTTTTTATTCAGGTGAGCCTGTGGATAGGAGTCTCTGCTCATCCTCTGCAACTTTGGAGCCCATCTCCTGTGAGGTCCCTTGCGCAAGAGACTGTGTGCTCAGCGACTGGACACCCTGGTCAACCTGTTCTCAGACATGCTCAAGTAAAACCGTGGAGGGCAAACAAATGAGGACCCGCTCCATTCTGGCATACAACGCCGGGGAAGGTTAGTTTGCACTTGCCTGCCACACTGTTGTTATTGACTGTTGTTAGTGAGAAAACATGCAGATAAAGTCATTTATAAGTTGTCCTTTGCTGTCAGTCTCCAAGAATCTGATTTTACACTTGTCTGCCTGTGCATCTGTCCTTATCTACCACATTCTGCTTATTTGTCATGATAATTATTTCTGTCCGTCTGTCTTCTCACCGGACGGACACTTTTTAACTCTCAATCAGATCGATTATCTTCATATGCTTATATTCTCTGGAGTTTAAAGCTGTGCTTTCCTTCTTTTTTGTTGTTGTTTTCTGTGTTTTTATCTGGGTTTGTGTTCTCCTCACAGTCATTGCAATGGTTGTGGCATGGATCACAGTGATGGAGGGTAACAATTCTAATTAAAGAATCCCAGTAGCTATTTTAAACCTCTAGCTATGTGTTTGCATAAAATAGTTGGCTTGTTTGGAGTTCAGAAGAAATGCTGTCGTAGTCCCTTAAGGGAAACGTATAATTGATTCGGAATTAATTCAGCATGTTGCTTTCTAAATCAGACAGGCCTTGTTGGTCTTGTGCAAAATAGCTTGACTGTTGTTCTGCTGCTGTAGTATTAGTTTGTTTGGCCCTTAACTGCCATATTAACATTTGAATTAATTTCCTATCCAGGTCTGTCACGGGTCCCCAAGTTCCCAGAACTTTATGGTAATATTTGATTCTTATTAGGCTAGTTGTAGCATCAGAATGAAAATGCCTTCATAAAACCCGATTTTATTCTCTCTAATAATTTTGAGTAAACATGCTTAAGAAAAAATAAGCCTTTCCTCTCTTCCTCTGCATAGTAGAGTAGATTATCTGATTAGATTTTAGCTCCTGATAGATTTTGTAGCTTTGGAATATTAATGAAGGAAAAGAATTTGTTGAAACTGCAGGAACCACTCAAGTTTAAGACGCAGGGATCATTTTAATATGCAGCCGCCCATGTTTGCACAGGACTCTGTCTTATTTAGAGCATTAATTAGCAAATTAATGACCTAATTAGCATAACTGCCTATTCAGTGGTGATTATAGAGGGACTTTGGAAAGCCCAACATGCTTCTCACTGTTTGACACCTATCAGTTTGAATGATGTTCAAGATTCATGTTAAGAAGCTATTTGTGAATGAGCTACAAAATATAATTTATCTTGGAAATTATTGCAATTTAAAAATAAATAGAGGAAGAAGAAAAAGCTGTTCTTTGACCAAAACTACGAAACATAAGAGAGACACCTTTTTTATGTTTAATACTGAGGGTTTAGCAGTCTGGAATAGTGTGGATATATATATATTTTTTTTATTATTTTACTTGTTGTTGAGGTTTGGGAAAGCAAAGATTATTATTATATATATATATTTTCAAACTTTTTGTTTTTTAAATATTTGTTCTGAATTGATGCTTTTTATACTATTGAGGTAAAGTTGTTAATTAACCGTCCTTCCTTCCATCCATCCATTCACTTATTTCTGTCTGTCCCTCCATCAGGGAAGATAACAGTCTATTATTTTCTAATATTTTTCTGTCATTCAGTCCTGCTGTATAGTTTCAGTTTTTCCAGGTTGTATTTTTAAAAGTCAGAATTTAGAAATACCTATTCTAACTTTATAGTTATGATGAATATACTGACTAATTTATGTATTTTATTTTCTGATTTTTTTTTTTACATTTTGATTAAAAATAGTCTAAAAGTATTCCTTCACATGTGTTTGACGACAATAAAGAGTGGAGTTTTTCTTAGGGCTTCACATATTATCCATGTTCCATCTGCTGCTGTTTCTATGTTTCTGCTGTCAGTGGTTTGTTTTCACTTGTCATGTTTGTCTAGAGACTCTTATTGCTCAGTCAGCTTAGGTTTTTCAGCACAGTCAGCAGGAAGGAGGTCAGGGAGATCTATGAGTTGTAGTTTGGGACTAAGGTTGGCACAACACCACTGCTTTATTCAAAGCTGGCTTCTTGACAAGTCCAGCTATGATCTACTGGCGTAAAGGACTTTCTGTCCAGCAATACTTCTAAATCTTTGCTGAAAGCTTTAAGTGGCTTTAGTCATGATCCCAAAATACAAAGCAGACTGTCAGAAAGAGAGAAACTGTTTTTGAGATATCAAAATCACGTTAGATTAGTATTTTTTTCTGAAGTATTGCAATACAACCACATATATGTTATTTAATCTAAATAAAGTTAGTGGTGTTAAACATTGAGGCAGCTAATTACAATGTTGCAATAAAATACTGTGAATTTTATGTAACAACAAAAAGAGTCACATGACTTAAGTAGAAGAGAAATGTTTTTTATTTATTCACTGTTTTTTGCAAATAAAGATATAAATCATCTGGTTTTCATTAGTATTTAGCCTTCTTAACTTACAAAACATCAGTGGTATAAATTGTCTTTCGAAAGCAACTTATTGATAAACTCCTCACTGGTGTTTACACATCTGGTCTGACTGAGCTTAAGCTATTTTCTAACAAATTTATTTTTAAATGCCTATATGCAATGCTGGTAGGTCCCAATGTTAAAATACTTCAAGATGTGATTACAGCAACATTGATTTCTGCTAAATGTTGATTAGGGGTGAAAACATAAATTCATCTGAAAGGTTAAATAGACTTTGAAACTGATTTCAAAAAGTGAGACTCCTATACTGAGTTACATGGATTCATTACACAGAGTGAAATATTTCCAACCCTTTAATATTGATGATTATGGCTTACAGATAATATAAACTCTAAATTCAGTGTTCTATACAGTCTCAGCATTACATAAGACAAATTTTAATAAAAAAATATTATGTATGGATGTTACATAATGTTAAATTGATGGCCTACATAATCGTTGGAAAGGATGTTGACTTGACAGGTCATCAAAAGGCAACCAGTGAACCATTCCCAAGCAGTGCTATATCCAGGCACATTCAGAGTAACGCTAAGTGGAAGGATAACCTGTAGTAGGAAAAGGTAAAACAGGGATAATGGGAGGTTAGGATTGCCATAATGGAAGATGGCTGCGCCTCTAGGCTTGATATGGCTGTCGACAATTCCACAAAATATTCTACAAATAGCTAGAACTCTACAAAAATAGGCTAGTTGTCGAAGTCTAAGTCAAGAAAAATTATTTAAAGTATTTGGATGAGTTTAATAAAGGAATTGAGGCTGGAGTCACTGCAATCAGATCAACACTAAGCATGGGCTAAAAACATTGCATTCTTTATTGTAGGCCACTAAAGTAGTCTTTTTTCAGATGAAAGTAAAGTTTTATTTTAATTTTTTATAAGTTCCTACAGTGTGGTTAAAGGGAGGAGTGGCTCAGAATCTGTTAGGGTGAAGATTACACAAACACTGATGAGTTTCGATGTCTGGTCATTTTACTGGTGGAGACTCGCTGTATTTTCAGATGTCTGCAGTCAATGAAGCCTTCTACCATCTTAAGGCTATTACTTTCTTCTTTCTGCTTACAAGCTTTATGAAGATAGATTAATTTTTGGATTTGGAAACTGCCACCACAAACAAATTTAGTGATGTTGGTGTTATGTGGTTGGCCAGTAGTTGACCTGAAACCCATAAAGGAGCTACCGCCAAGCTTTTATTATATCTCACCACTCCCACAGGCTTATCACCTCCAAACCACGCTGCATATAAGCAGTTCTTTATGCAAAAGAAACTCCAACTGAGGATTAAGTGAACTGAAATGCATTCTTAACTTATTAGTTTTTTCATTCATATTTATTTGTCAGTGAATTCACCATCCGCTGACAAATCCACTAAATCCTTTTCCTCAAAATTAATGCAGAAATGTCACTGTTTGAAATGCCAAAATTTTTTTCAGTTTGTCCACAGCTGAGACTAATCTTCCAGTTTCAACAGGGTCTTAATTGTTTTTTGAACTAACTTTAATGTCTTAAAAACTCTGAAATTCAAACAACTTTTGTGTTAAATATACATATATATGTTAGGATATATGTACGAATGTATTCATCATGGTTTAAAAAAAGGTCTTAATAGGTTTTAAATTTCAGTTAATGAAAACTACAGGAACACTGGCCTTTAATGGTATATAATAGATGGATGAACGATGAAGCCGAGAGTTTTTCTATTTAGTTAAGTGAGAGAAAACCTGTCCTTAAACAGTGCTTCATTCACAAGTCTGAAAAATTTGCATATGCTGTTCAAGAAGTTAAGAAATTAGAGAATATTTGTTCTTTCAATATCTGTAAGCATGTTCATAAAAATTGCTTTTGAAATGATGTTTGAAAAAGGTTTCCCGTTTTCCTCAATTTTAGCCTACTTGTATTATTTAATCAAAAAAGTAAATCTCAGACAATGTGAAAGAAGAATAGAAACAAAATCCCACTGATATAGAAAATTAGATATTTGAGAAAAAAGTTCATAAATTTACAAATTAACCATTTATGATTTAAACTACTGTCATCTTATATGTAAGAAGTATCCATAGTGGTAGTTTATGAAACCTGTCTTTATTTGTAGGTACAAATTCCAACTTCGAGAGCCTCATATTTTTTTCTTTAACACTAAACTGAGCTTTAAAGTAAAAAAAATAAAATAAAAATTAAAAACTTTTTATTTTTCATTCTCAGGTGGCTCCCTGTGTCCAAACAGCAGTGCACTTCAGGAGGTGCGGAACTGTAATGAACATGCCTGTATAGTTTACCATTGGCAGACAGGACCCTGGGGGCCATGCACAGAAGACCCATCAACAGCATCCCTGAACACCTCTGCACGTCCCAATGGAGAGGATCAAGGTCTGTGCTCCATGGGAGTGCAAACCCGCAAGGTCATGTGCATCCGGGTCAACGTGGGACAGGTGCCACCCAAAAAGTAAGCTGGTTTCAGTTTCATATAAAGTAGTAAACATTCAAACTAAGTTTGGCAGATTGACATTTATTAATAACTCACTCAAATCAGCAATATAAGGTCAATCTTCATATATTCCCTACAAATCTAGTTTAAATAGAAATAGTTATGGGGATCCTTCGTTTTGTAACACATAAAAAGTTCAATCAGATTTTAATATTAGAAACAAATAGAAATGTTTCTGTCGCCTTATAAAATAAACCATATTTCCTCTACCACAAATTACTTATAAAGGTTTTTAAGAACACTTAAAGAGACCAAAACATTATCAATTAAGGCAGACCGACTATACATAACACACTGTGTCAGAAATACGTTTTACCTGGAGTTACCCTTAGTTTGCTGAAAACAGCTGCTCTACAGACATCAAAGGTCACAGAACCTGCAGTAACTTCATCGGTGCAAAAAATGGACCAACTGCCATGAGCAGTTAAATGTCAGTGATGTACTCAGTCTGCTCAGGTTTAATGTCTTTAGAAGCAAGTAATCAAAGTCCTGCTACTTGTTTCAGTCACCCCTTCTTCTCTGCTGCCAAAGCTGCAGCTTCCAGCCAGTAAAATGTGTGACTATCTCAGTTAAGCATCTGAGTGATAAACTGTGAGAAGAGGGAACTAGAAGATTGATCGTGAAGGCTGACACAGTCAGTGGTGTGAAACAGGTGACTATTTCTTCTTACCTGGACAGCAGGCAGTTTCTTTCAGGCTATAATCAGTCTGATCTGTACATGAATCACTTTCAGACCAGAGATGCACATTTTTTACATCAGTGTATTCATTATGGACAATATTTCATTTAATACAGGAATTATATTAATAAGATTTGCTTAGCTGCTCATCAATGTTCTAAAATGGTTACATGTTAAAAATGTTATAATGTAAATGTCTTAAAAACAATAACTAATGAAATAAGTACTGCATTATTGAAATTTCTACCAACATTTTTAAACTTAATAGACTAGTAATAAGTTAATAAATTGCATTTGGCTGTTTCTGCTTTTTGAATTAGCTGCTTCATTTTTTTTTTTACATGTGTATTAAACTTAGGCTACAGTCAAACTGCAGGCCTCTATGCTCAATTCAGATTTTTTTGTAATTTATTTTTTATTTAATTTTTTCAAACATGCGACTTGTATGTGATCTCCTGTGTGAACTACAGTCATACAACGCAAGTGTCCCACATGAGCAGTAGAGGACGTAATGACATCACAGGCAAGCGCGCTCTTTTTTACAGAAGTAAACATGGATGATAGTGACGGAGCGCATCTAGCGATCTTTCCCAATCTTAAAAACTCAATCTTTTCAAGATGGTTAAACATAAATACTGCTCTCTGCATCGTCGTCCGCCATGGCTGTTGTTTTTCGTGCCGCTTCTTCATAGCAAGACCCAGAATAGTGACAGTTGTCGGGTAATAATTGCGTTCAGGTCGGATGAATGCGACCTGACGGTTCAGACACAGTTCGCATTTGAAAAGATCAGATTCATATCGGATTCAGGACCACATAGCCAAGTGGCTTGGGTCGCATTGGAAAAAATTGGATCTGTGCTGTTCAGACAGCCATGAAAAGTTCAGATACAGGTCGCATATGGCCCAAAAAATCATATTTGGGTCACTTCAGGCTGCGGTGTGAACGTAGCCTTAGTTGTGATGATGATCCTTTTACAATAACTGTTTGCTACAAATAAAAGAAACTTTAGTTGTGTTAATCTGTTCGGGTTAATAAAAACTAAGGATATTAGCTGAAAACTAAACAGGGCTGGAACAGTACCTGCAGAAATCTGTAGATTATGATGAGAACAGGGAAGAAATGAGAGAAAGAGATCAGGATAGTAGAACAAAGACCCAGCAGCTTGAGGATAATGAGTCGAAGTGAAAACAAGGGGACTGAGTGAGCTGGTTAGTAAACTGAGCACAACCAACATGAGTTAAAGTCCCAGTTCGTATCTTTCCTTTGCAGGCGACCCCAGATAAATAATCTCTGTGTCCCTGAAAGCCTAATTAACCCTACCGTTTTGGGCACTGGTGATTTCTCATTGATGATAATGACGGTAATTAAATGGGATTGATACTTTAAGGCAATTTAATCAGGAGGCAGATGAGAGGAAGGATGTTTGCGGTTAACTGCGAGGACCACACCACATGAGGAGAATTCAAAGTAGAGCAGTTTACCCAAACATCTGTCGAAAAGTTTAGCTCAGTCCCTGTCAGTTATGGAAGGATGCAGAAGCTAAAGTCAAAATTTTATGATTATCAGTTGTAGTCATAATGAACAAGAATGTCAAATTAGTTTATGCAGAGACGGGTTGTAGCTAGGGCTGCAACTAACGATTATTTTGCAAATTGATTCATTTGTCGAGAATTATTTCAATTAATAATCAGAGAGCCAAAGTTTTTATAGAAGATTTTTTTACAAAAACAAACCAGGAGAAATTAAAACTTTTCCACTTCTCTGGATAGAGCATATTGACACATGAAAAAAATTTTTTTTTATCTTAAATGCAAAATGTTTTACATATTTTTTTTTTACAATCTTGGTATAATTACTGGTCTAAGGGGGTTGCTCTGTCAATTAAATGCACTTTAGAGTCTCTATAATCCAGTTTATTCAATTCAATTGAGTTTATTTATATAGC